CCCCTCACCTTGCCAATCTTCATCCGTTCACCTTGTCCCCCCTACGCCTCCTCACCTTGCCAGTGTATCCCGCCTTATCGATCGCATCCACCAGCAGCACCAGCCCCTCCTTGCTGTCCTGAATGTTTGGGCTTTAAGGTCCCCTTGTCCCTGATTCCCTTACTAACCTTGCCAGTGTACCCCGCCTTGTCAATGGCATCAACAAGCAGAATGAGCCCCTCCTTGTTGTCCTGAATGTTGGGCGCGAAGCCGCCCTCGTCGCCCACGTTGCATGCGTCCTGCCCGTACCGCTTCTTGATGATACCCTTCAGCACCTGGTACACTGGGGAAGGGAGGATGGAGGGGATATGGGAGCAACGGGCAAGGAGACAGGGATACACGGGGTTAAATGATGCCATACGTTACACGCGTCCTGCCCGTACCGCTTCTTGATGATACCCTTCAGGATTTGATAGACTACGGACAGACGGGGATGCGATGGACAGGGACGGGGATGGATGGGCAAGGAGCAAGGTGCGGATAGGGATGATACCCTTCACTTCTTCCTACTCTACATTCTCCATGACTGCCGGTGTACCAAGTCCGTAGGTGCAGCCATGCTCGGCCATATGTTTTCCATGCCTCTCGGTAAGTGTTTCACAATCCACATCCCATTGCCTCTTCGCATCCCATCGGAATGGCCTCGGAGAACGAGGAAAGCGCCAGTGGGAAGGATCATGAGCTCCTGCATCGCGGCCCGCGTGGTTGCCTTGCCTCTGGTGTGTTCCCACTGCCGCTTATCAAACCACGACTCCCTGCTTTTCACTCTGCCCTTCTCACATTCGCATCCCATTTGGATCGCCTCCGAGAAGGAAGAAGCGCCAGTGGGAAGGATCATGAACTCCTGCATCGCCAGCTTGTTGCCCGCGTGGCTGCCTCTGGCTGCCTACCTGCTTATCTCCCTGCCTTTCTCACCTTCGCATCCCATCTGAATGGCCTCGGAGAAGGAAGAAGCGCCGGTGGGGAGGATCATGAATTCCTGCATGGCCAGCTTGTTGCCCGCGTGGCTGCCTCATTACGACTTATCAGACTCCCTTGCACGGCCTATCACTCTGCCCTTCTCACCTTCGCACCCCATCTGGATCGCCTCGGAGAAAGAGGAGGCCCCTGTCGGAAGGATCATGAACTCCTGCATGGCCAGCTTGTTGCCCGCGTGGCTGCCGCCGTTGATGACGTTCATGGCGGGCACGGGCATGATCAGCTTCTCCACGCCCGCTAGGGAGGCCAGGTGCCTGGGAGAAAAGGGGAGGAAAAGGAAGCGAGAGGAAGGAAATGCGTTGATGACATTCATGGCGGGCACGGGCATGATCGGCTTCTCCACGCTCGCTAGGGAGGCCAGGTGCCTGGGGGGTTGGGGGGAAAGGCGGGAAAGGGAGAGGGGGAAAGGGGGAGAGCAGAGTAAGCGCCGTTAATGACGTTCATGGCGGGCACGGGCATCACGAGCCTCTCCACGCCCGCCAGAGAGGCGAGGTGCCTGGGGAGGTGGAGGGGAGAAAGAGCGAGTGGGAATGAGAGTGGTCAGGAGTGGGAGCTAACCACACGCCGTTAATGACGTTCATGGCTGGCACGGGTATCACGAGCCTCTCCACGCCTGCTAGCGAGGCGAGGAGACTAGGAAAAGAGGGAGAAGGAGCGAGTGACCGATCCGCTGAGAGGTGATTGATGAGGAGAAGAGTGAGGTGACTTTTGAGTCGACTCAAAAGCCACCTCGAGGCGAGGAGGCTAGGAAAAGAGGGAGGAGGAGCGAGTGACCGATCCGCTGAAAGGTGATTGATGAGGCCGACGAGAAGAGTGAGCGCCAGACGGTAATGGCGAGCACGGGCATGCATGATGACGAGCGGCGCTGTGGCTGGGAACGGCTGAAGCTTATAACGATACAAGCCTATGACTTATAGCGGAGCTCACCTGTAGAGCGGGACCGAGTTGCCGGCAGCGCCGGCGTGCGCGACAGCGAGGGAGACGCCGAGAATGGCGTTGGCGCCGAGCGACGACTTGTTGGGCGTGCCGTCGAGCTCCAGCATTAGCGCGTCGATCGCGCGCTGGTCCCTGGGGTAGGGGATAACACGAGAGTTGCGGAGATTTGAATTGAAATGCCTCGGAGCAGACGTGATTTGATGTGATTTGGACGTGCCGTCGAGAGCAGCAGGGATTAGGCGGGGGGAGGTTACGGATAGAAGGACTTCTGGTCATCCATGAAGAGAGTTGGAGTTGAGAAGCGCGGAGAGGAGTTTGAAATCTTGGATTCCGCATTTGAAACTCATATGGATTCAATCAGATTTGAAATGCACATTGCTGCCTCCGGCATTCTGGACTCCGCAGTTGCACTCTTCGTAATAATGCAGAAAAAGAACCGAGAAATCCCGTCCGCATTACGTCGGATCGAGGCCGATCAGCGTAGGAGCAATGATGTTGTTGATGTTCGCAACGGCCTTGAGCACGCCCTTCCCGCCGAACTTGCTCTTATCTCCGTCGCGAAGCTCCAGCGCCTCGTAGATCCCCGTCGACGCGCCGCTGGGGACGGCGGCGCGGAACACGGTGCTGGACTTTGACGTCATCAGATCAACCTCCACCGTCGGATTTCCGCGGCTGTCGATGATCTGACGGGCCTTGACGCTCGCGATCTCGCCGACGTTGCTTCCGGACATGGCCCGCACGGCGGGTGTCTTCCGGAATGGAGCTGCGAGGGAGACATTGGTGGCTGCGAGAGCGGTGCCGGAAGATGCGGAGAGTTTCAGGGGCGATCCGGTCAGGAATGCCTTTTGAAGCAGCGACGCGGATGCGGATGCCATGGCTGGCTATTGCAGGAATGCAGGGGGAAATGAAAAGGCTCACGGTCACGCAAACCAGCAGTCGCAGCAGTGAGTTCTCAACCAGAAAACGGAAAGCTGGTTGTGAGCGGCGTGACCCTGGTCAGTCAAAAGACAGCTGAAATGAAATGAAATGTGCAGCTGTGAAGATATGGGAGAGAGGCATAAAGAACAACGGAAAGGGAGAGGGAGGGAGAGGGAGGGAGAGGGGGATGGAAGGAGCTTCTTCAGGTTGTAAAACAACCGAAACCTGTAACCACGCTCGTCGAAACCTGTTTTGCCCGTGACGACGTTCGCCAGAACTACAACCAGTTCCAAATGTTCCACGCCCGCCCTGAATTCTGAACGACGAGGGACCTCCCATGTTCCCCATCCAATCCTGGATCCTGAAATTCGGTCACCTCGACTCTGTCCTTGATGCTGTCGCTCCCATGTCAGCCTGTCAATCCGTCCGTCCGTCAAACGGGAGATGCAAGTTCTGTCCGACGTAGATGTGTTATGGGCAGAAAAAATATTGCACAGTCCAGGTCAGATGAGAAGATTGGGCATTGGTTACATCGGCAATGCTCATTTGACATTCAGGCTAATTGAGAAACTACACGTGGAGCGGCTAAGCCACCAAAGATGTACGCGATGGTAAACGCTTCTTTTGAGGACAAGTAGAGTCTATACACCGCACTTTGAGAGCCGTGTATGGCAGGTTCCCAGCACAAAAACATTCCACCTCAATCAGCTTCCTTATGACGTGGCGCCTACGAGGAATTACAGTAGGTCGGCGAAATGACGTTTCTGGGACCACAACTCCTATTGGCGTGACTCCAATTTCCATCAGCATGCCGTCAGAGAATCCTGGTAAATTCGAGTCGATTGGTGAATGGGTTCTCCCTCTCGACGGTTGAGATTCTTTATTACCACTATGGGAATCCTTCCTGTGAATCGGTGGCCGGTTCAACTGCTGTTTGTACGCGCTAAATGCAGCATTGCAGTTGCGGAATTCGCTTTCAAGTCACTCATAGGACTAGTAACTCCAGAATGTCTCTACCAGCTACTCCTCTCAGTTCGCTTTCTGGTTTCCGCTCACCAGCCCCCCCTCCAACATCCAGAGTCAGTCGACCATAGTAGATTATCCTTCACGTGTATTCGAATAAAGCGTAAAGGGCACGAGCTGCTTAGGTAGTGATAGCGAATTAGCTGTCAGCTTCGCCTATTATTGCAGGACCCTTTGAGCCATTCGTGTGTATAATGTGCGAATTCGCCTTTATCCCTCATAGTTACCTCACGACTCTAGGCCTTCACTGACGCGCACCTGGTGATTATGGGACGAGCCGACACGTTCTTAAGAATAGCTGGCAGACGGCTCCATTTTGGATACCATTCAGGGACGAGGTATGACCGCATTCATAACGGTTTTCTTTGAATTACCTCGCAAATCGATGTAATCCAGAATCGGGTGTTTCGTATTCATTCCGTATGTCATTGTAACTAGGGGACTCAGAGAATATGACATTCCGTCTTCTCCATCCCCCTCGTCCACGTGTCTCTTCATCCAGTACAAGCATCCCCCCAACCAGACCAGCATCACAGCTCTTCGCAGCTCGTTGGACCCCACGTGGCGCGATGGGATTGGAAGCCTCTCACGCGTCACCACAAGCACCAGTAGTACCGTCCAGCACGGTGGCTCCTGCTCCTCCTGCGTCCACCGCTCACAGTTCTCACCACCTAGAATCTCTTAACGCTAACCACAATATGAGTACCTGCAGTTCCATGGCGGTTCAAGCAGCAACGACAGCGGCAGCAACCGCCGCTTTACCCGGTCCAATTGGAGTCAGCCACGTGTGCGCCGGTCTGGACGTGGATGCGTTTCCTTTTCACGGAGTATCGTTCCTCTCTCCGTTACCCTTTCCAAGAAGCATGAGCAGCAGCTTCAGTTCCAGCAATAGCATGAGCAGCATGAGCATCAGTGGCAGCGGCAGCAGCGGGGCGCGCTCGTTACAAGGAAGCGGAGGCAGCTGGCAGGCGATTCAATTCGCGGCTGGCAACGGCTCGGGGCTGGGCGGAGCGGCGTGGTGGCGAGAGCTGCACGAAGCAGCCACCGCCGCCACCTGCAGCTGCGAAAACAGCCCGCGCGGGCAGCAGTGCAGGGGGGTCAGCCCCATGGGAGGACAGCGCAGGGGAGAATTCACTGTGCCTAACAATAGCGATGGCGTTAGCGTGAGCCATGACCACAAAGAACGGACTAACGGCGTCGGTAACAGCAATGCAATTGATGGTATCAGTGACGTCAGCGCGACCAGTGTCACCAGTGGCACCGATGGCAAGGGTGACAGTGAGGGGAGGGTTCCAGAAGCGGTGAGGTCGGACCCGCTGCAGTGGCTGCCGCGGTATGTGAAGGTGGTGGAGGTGGGGCCGCGGGACGGGCTGCAGAACGAGAAGCAGCAGGTGGCGGTGGGCGTGAAGGTGGAGCTCATTCACCGCCTCATGGCCGCTGGGCTGCCTGTTGTGGAGGCTACCAGCTTTGTCTCCCCGAAATGGATTCCCCAGGTGCGAGTTTCTGAAGGTGGAGCTGCTCAAAGTGAGTACAGGTGAGTTTCACGGGCTGCAGAACGAGAAGCAGCAGGTGGCGGTGGGCGTGAAGGTGGAGCTCATCCACCGCCTCATGGCCGCTGGGCTGCCTGTTGTGGAGGCTACCAGCTTCGTCTCGCCCAAGTGGATCCCTCAGGTGGGCGTTGCTTCTAGTGCTAGTGATTCCGCTGCTTATAACGAGTACAAATGACACCAGGTGGCGGTGGGCGTGAAGGTGGAGCTCATTCACCGCCTCATGGCCGCTGGGCTGCCCGTGGTGGAGGCTACCAGCTTCGTCTCGCCCAAGTGGATCCCTCAGGTGCGTGTCTCTAGTGACGCAGCCGCCTATAACGAGTACAAGTTGGCGGTGGGCGTGAAGATGGAGCTCATTCACTGCCTCATGGTCGCCGGGCTGCCTGTTGTTGAGGCCACCAGTGGCCTCGTGTCCCCTAAATGGATTCCCCAGGTGTGAGGGTTTCTAGAGGTGCAGCTGCTTATATCTCTGCAGCTCTCAGATAACAGCAGGCGGGTTGAGAGAAGTGGCAGTGTTTGCTGGCCCCAGCCCCTTCTTCACCCTCTCCGCCTCCCCTTTCCTCGTCCCTGCAGCTCTCAGATGCACCAGAGGTGATGCAGCGAGTGCAGAGCAACCGCCGCACCAAGCTACCGGTTCTAACGCCCCTATCCCCAACCTTATCCCCCTTCCCCCTGCCCACGCCCCTTCCATGCAGCTCTCAGATGCACCAGAGGTGATGCAAAGAGTGCAAAGCAACGGCCGCACCAAGCTGCCTGTGCTCACCCCCAACCTGAGAGGCCTTGAGAACGCCATGGCAGCCGGGGCCAAGGAGGTGGCCGTGTTTGCTGCTGCTTCCGAGGCGTTTTCCAAGAAGAATATTAATTGCTCAGTGGAGGAGAGTCTGGAGCGGTACAGAGCGGTTTGTGATGCTGCAAGGGACAGAGGCATTCCTGTGCGAGGGTAAGCAAGAGTGAGGTATGATGGCATTGGTAACAGAAGGTGTAAGAGACGCGCTTTGTGTGTGTGTGCGTGTGTGTGCGTGCGTGTGTGTGTGTGTGTGTGTGTGTGTGTGTGTGTGTGTGTGTGTCAGGGGTTCCTTGTTCCTTGCCCAAGGGCTGCTGAAGGGGCTGGTTGTGGGAGTGTGCCATGTTACTTTGCTTCTCTCAGCTGCTCCTGCTTCCTCTCTCTTTGGTGCCTCCGCCATGTATCTTGTGCGCTGGGTGGAGTGCCCCTATGAAAGCCACATAGATCTGAATGTTGAATCAGTTGCCAGCTTATATGCCCACTTTCACGCACTTACACCTGCCCGCTGCCCCTTGTCCCACGTGCAGGTACGTGTCCTGTGCGGTGGGTTGCCCCTACGAAGGCCACATAGAGCCAGCAGCAGTGGCGAGGGTGGCAAAAGCTCTCCACGACATGGGATGCTATGAGGTGTCTCTGGGGGACACCATCGGCGTCGGCACTCCGGGTGAGGTTCAAAGCGGTGCAGTGCGGTGTAGTATGGTGCTGTGGAGTGCTGTGCAGTGCTGCGAGGTTCTGGGAGGTGCAACGAAGGTTACATAGCCCCAGCAGCAGAGGCGAGGGTGGCCAAGGCTCTGCACAACATGGGGTGCTACGAGGTGTCTCTGGGGGACACCATCGGCGTCGGCACTCCTGGTGAGATTCAAATCGGTGCAATGTGGTGCAGTGCGGCACTGTGCAGGCCAGTGTGGTGCAGTGCGGTGCTGTGAGGTGCCGTAAAGGCCGCACAGAGCCGGCAGCAGTGGCGAGGGTGGCCAAGGCTCTGCACGACATGGGATGCTATGAGGTGTCTCTGGGGAACACCATGGGTGTCAGCACTCCCGGTGAGCTTCAAAGCAGTGCTTTGCGGTCGGACCGGTGACAGCAGTGGTGCTCATGCTGCCTGCTGTGTGTGCATGCTCACAATGCCCGTGCACTCCCCATCCCAACCAAGCAGTCGCTGCTCTCCTCCCCTACGGCCCACTAACCCACCCCACCAGGCTCATTGTCGCCCATGCTGGGCGCCGTGTGTGCATGTGTGCCGCCCTCCTCTCTCTCACTCCTCCATTGCCGTGTGTTCCTCCTGCCTCGTCCCAACCCCCACTGAACCACCAGGCTCAGTGGCGCCCATGCTGGACGCCGTGTGTGCTGCCCTCGTCCGTCGCTGCATTCGTGCATCTGGGCGCATGCAGACCCAACCAGCTAACCTCTCTGTTTCGTGCTTCCCCCATTTCCCCACCGAACCACCAGGCTCAGTGGCGCCCATGCTGGACGCCGTGTGTGCATGCGTGCCGCCCGCCTCCCTCGCTGTGCATTTCCACGACACCTACGGGAAGGCCCTCGCCAACATCCTCGTTGCTCTGCAGGTAAGTGTTTCCTTGCATGCTTGTTATGATACCTTGCTCATTCCACTCACCACTCTCGCCCTCAACTTCCACGACACCTACGGCCAGGCGCTCGCCGACATCCTTGTGGCCTGAATCTGTTTTTTTAGAATTCTGAAAAAAAAACAGATTCACTCTCGCAAACATTCTCGTGGCCCTGCAGGTGAGGTGGCTAGCGCCTGTGAATGCTCGTGCTGGTGCCCTCGTGTTTGTTGCCCTCGTGTTTGGTGCCCTCGTGTTTGTTGCCCTCGTGTTTGTTGCCCTTCTCCCTCCCCACTCCCACTCCCACCACACACAGATGGGAGTATCAGTCGAGGACTCATCAGTAGCTGCCTGGGGCTGTTTTGCCTACGCCAAGGGGGCATCAGGCAACGTGGCAACAGAGGGCGTGGTGTATCTGCTGCATGGGGGGTTGCTGTTGCTGGGGGTCATGAGCGCGTGTGTTTGCTTCCTCACTGGGGCTACCAGCTCATGTGCTTGCCTGCTGCCACCCTCCCCTCCCCTCCCCTCCCCTCCCCTCCCCTCCCCTCCCCTCCCCTCCCCTCCCACCCACCCACCACACACAGATGGGCGTGTCAGTGGTCGATTCTTCAATAGCAGGGCTGGGCGGCTGTTGCTGAGGGTGCTGACCTCATGTGCTTGCCTCTGCCCTCCCCTCAGATGGGAGTATCAGTGGTGGATTCCTCTATAGCTGGTCTTGGCGGGTGCCCCTACGCCAAGGGGGCATCAGGCAACGTGGTGACAGAGGACGTGGTGTATCTGCTGCATGGGCTGGGCATTCACACGGGCATAGACTTTGACAAGCTGCTCGAGGCATCGGCGTTCATCAGCCAGGCGTTGGGGAGAGAGCCCTGCTCTCGCACTGCTGTGGCCCTCGCCCGCACCAGGCAAACACTGGCAGAGTCACCTAAACTGTGATGCTTTTTAATGCGGTGCGGTGTGGTGCAGTTCGGTGCGGTCAGTGCAGTAGGAGGAGAGCATAGACTTTGACAAGCTGCTCGACGCATCGGCGTTTATCAGCCAGGCGTTGGGGCGAGAGCCCTGCTCCCGCACTGCTGTGGCTCTGGCTCGCACCAGGCAAACTATGGCAGAGATTCCCAAGCTCAAGGTTCGGTTCTGTGACGTGCGATTCAGTGCGGTAAGAATGGCATAGACTTTGACCAGCTAGGCGTTGGGGAGAGAGCCCTGTTTGCGCACTGCTGTGGCTCTGGCCCGCACCAGACGGCCACTGGCGGAGACACTCAAGCTGTGGTGCGGTGTGGTGTGGTGCTGTTCAATGCAGTGCAATTGAGGGTTGAAGTGCTGAGTCGTGCATGCAATAGGGCAGTAAGCTCTACATGTCACCTGCTTGCTTTCAGGTGCTCCTATCCTGTAGTAAACAGTCTTGAATAGGGTAGTGTTGTGCACTTGTAAATACATGTGAGAGTTGGCGGTTGCAAAACATATGAGCAGCCAAAACATGAAGTCTGCTACGGTGTTCCCTACGTGCAGACTGTTACACTTTTGCCGAAGCAGTACAGGGCGGTAAAGCAAGTTGGCTGGAAGGTTTCAAGCAAACCTTACATTCATGCAATTACCGCACCTGTATCCTCTCCTCCCCTCTTCTCCTCTAGCTACTGTTAGGAAGTCTGATGCACTCTAAACACGTGGCTGTCAGGAAAGGCCGCGGCCCACGGTTCAATTCGGTTCAATTCAACCCTCGGTTCAATTCAACCCTCGGTTCAATTCAACCCTCAGTTCAATTCAACCCTCGGTTCAATTCAACCCTCGGTTCAATTCAACCCTCGGTTCAATTCAACCCTCGGTTCAATTCAACCCTCGGTTCAATTCAACCCTCGGTTCAATTCAACCCTCGGTTCAATTCAACCCACGGTTCAATTCAACCCTCGGTTCAATTCAACCCTCGCTTCAAGTCAACACACTGCACAAGCAGCGATACGCAAGGATGGAATGTGATGGTGTGGGTGGTGTTAGCATGGTCTAACATACCTATCCTAAGCCACCGGTAGAAACAAGTCACTGGATGAAGCTGAGAGGATCCAGACCAGACGAAGCCCTCTTGCGAGGCAATATGAATTTCCTATATCCCCCTATACAAAACTCCACAACTTCTAGCTGACTTCACATTCTTTACAGCCATTAGAGGCTTAGCTAGTGCTGCCACTTGCTCTGCTAGTTCTGCTGCTGGAAATGCCTCCTTGCCTGCAAGCAGGAAAGTCTCAAAACGAGTCCCAACAGCAGTAGTAGGTACATTGACTTGGGTTCACTGGCAATATCAGTCTTAGAACGACTTGGCATTCTCTAGAGGAGTCAAGAGAGCCTTGACTAGCGAGATGACTTGCTCTGCCTTCTCTCCTGCACTCACTTCTCCTCGCGTGCGAGCAGCAAGGGTTGCTTGGCCCAATACCCGCCTTAGAATGACTCGGCATTTTCTAAAGCCAAGAGAGCCTTGGCCAGTGCTGTGACTTGCTCTGCATGCTCTGCTGCACTCAGCTTCTCCTTGCCTGCAGCAGGCCCCCCACTGCCCTGCTCCTGCTGCTGCTTGCTCTTGAATTGCCTGTGGCAGCAAGGAGGCATCCAGGGCCAGAAGAAATATATAGTGCAGTGGAAGCAGGGATGGGCTTAGGGGAAGAGCAGGTCAACTCAAGGCACCATTCACATCTTAGAGAGCAGCGGAGGACAAGGGAAGGTGCACAGCAGCAGTGCACGTGGAACAAGTGCAGAAGACCAGCAGAGACACGTACAGGCAGGTTCCTTGTATGGCAACAATGGCAGGCATGGCAGGCATGGCAGGCATGACTGGCATGACTGGCATGACTGGCATGACTGGCATGACTGGCATGACTGGCATGACTGGCATGACTGGCATGACTGGCATGACTGGCATGACTGGCATTACTCTATTACCTGCACAGAGGGACACGGCATCCCTTGTGCTTCTCACACGCGCTCGAGTGCTGCTCCAACAGCTGCCACACCACCTTGCAGCTCCCGCACCCTCCCGACACCTTCACACCGCACTTAGCAAAGTGCCGAATCAGCACCTCGACCGGGCGGCACTTGGGGAGTCCGCAGGGGGTGGGGGGGGCGGCGGGTGTGGCGGGTGTTGGGGGGGACATGGGGCGCACAGAGAGGAGGGAGGAGGAAGAGGAGGAGAAGGTAGAGAGAGTGCCGCTGCCGCCGAGGTAGTGGGAGGCGGAGGAAAGGGAGGAGAGGGTAGGCGCGAGGGTGGTAGCAGGGGAGAGAGTGTGCGGTCCCGATTGGCCTGGTTGACTTGATTGACCTGATCGATCCGTTTGACCTGCTTGACTTTGAGATTCTGTAGTCTCTGCCATAGCCGCAGCAGCAGAGCTATCGAGATTTCGCCCCTCTGCTTCCTCCCCTTCCGCACCTTCCGCTGCTACCGCCATTCCTCCACCTCCTCCCCCTTCCTCTGCCCCATCCCCCCCAACCCCCGTTCCCACCCTCGCCCCCTCATTCTCGACAGCAGAGGCAGAGGACGGGTCAGCGGGGGGCTCAGAGGGGGAAGCAGAGGCGGCAGCAGCACAAGGGGGAGCAGCGGGAGGGGGAGAGGAGACCGAGGCAGAAGCAGAGGCAGAGGTGGAGGAGGCACAGCTGCCGTCGTTGCAGATATGCTCCAAAGCTCTCACTGCCTGCTGCACCTGCTGCCTCGCCCACGCCTCCTCCCCTTGCAAGCCAGTGTCGCGCTGCCATGGGAAGGAAAGCAGCGGCGGGGAACGGGAGAGGGATGAAACGGGGCAAGAGGCATTGAGGAACGGGAGCAGAAGCAGAGGTGGAGGTGGAGGAGGCACAGCTGCCGTCGTTGCAGATATGCTCCAAAGCTCTCACTGCCTGCTGCACCTGCTGCCTCGCCCATGCCTCCTCCCCTTGCAAGCTGGTATCGCGCTGCCATGGGCATGGGGCATGGGGCATGGGGCATGGGCATAGGGCGGCGGGGGGGAGGGGAGTGGAAAGGGGAAGAAGCAGTGAAAGGCTGCGCTCGAGAGCCCTCACTGCTTGCTGCACCTGCTGCCTCGTCCAGCCAGCCGGTATCACGTCGCAAACGGTAAGGGCAATGAGGAAGAGGGGGGGGGGGGGGGGAGGGAAAAGGGGAAAGAGGAAACAAAACAGGTTTTGCCGTGAGTTGACGGGGCAAGGGAGAAGGGACATGGTGAGACAAGGGGCAGTCCTGCTAAACTCAATCACCAAAACACTGCGCCCTGTTATGCTCCTACCCTCAACCCCACCCTACCCTCAACCCCACCCTACCCTCAACCCCACCCTCTTATTCAAGTCACTCACCCTCTTCCTCGCTTCCGCCATCCCAACAAGCATCCCCTTCACCTCCGCTGTGATTGACGCCAATCACCCTCAAACCACCCTCCCATCTCTTTATCACCCACTCTCAACCCACCATCCCCCTATCACACCCACTCACTTTCTTCCTCGCTTCCACCATCCCCACAAGCATCCCTTTAACGTCCGGGTACTCCTGACTCAGCATGGCCCACGCGTCTGTCAGCGCCACGTCAGCGTGGTGCCGCACGATGTACTGCTGAGTCAGCGCCTGCAGCGCGCGCGAGCCGACCAATCGCGCGAGGACAAGCGTGTCGACGGCGTTGGCGGGGGAGAGGAGGCGGGAGCGCAGGGCCTCGAGGCAGAGGGACTTGAGCAGGGGAATGGGGAGGGAGTGCGCGAGGAGGAGGAGGTGGAAAATGTGCCGATCCATCAACCCATCGTCCATGCTGGTTGGTTCATTAAAGGAAGGGAGGGGGGAGTGGGGAGGGGAAAGACAGGAGGAGCATGGGGAGATGAGGAGCAGATGGAAGATGTTTTCGATCCATCAGTGGAGAGCATCGACCATGCTGCCGTTTATTGAAGGGTCGATCGAGACGGGAGGTGGGAAGAATAGGAGGGGGGAGAGGGAAAAGAAGCATGCATTGCGTGGTGTAGAGCAATCGGGAGGTGGTAAATCGGGTCGGAAGAGGGGGCAAAGAGGGGGAAGGAGAGGGGGCTGAAACGGGGGAAAACAAGAAGGGGGTAACCAAGAGGAGGCGGGAAAGAGGGTTTCAAGGCGGAGGGATTTGAGGAGGGGGGTTGGGAGGGAATGGGCGCCTGGACACCCCCCCTGATCTGACAACGTCCGCCGTGACCCCCCTCAGCACTAACACCCACTGGCACCTGCTCTCTTTCCCTTCCCCCCTTCCATGACTAAGAGGAGAATCACAAAGCAAAGGCAAAAACTCACATGCCACAATAGAGAGCTTGCGCAACCCCTCTTATTGCCTCCACCGGCACTCCCCTCACACTATCACCCACTGAAACCTGCTCTCCCTCTCCCCATCTGCTTTTTCTCCTTTCACTAAGAGGAGAACCACAAGCCAAGACACACAGACTCACGTGCCACAGTAGAGCGCTTGCACAACCCCTCGTATATCCTACACCGGCACTCCCCTCAGCACTGTCACCCATGGGGACCCGCTGTCTCTCCCCTTACCTACCTTACTGAGAGGCGCATAACAGAGAAGGCACAGATCAGACTCACGTGCCACAGTATAGTGCCTGCACGACGCCTCTTATGGCCTCCACTGGGACCCCCCTCAGCACTATCACCCACGGGGGGCGCGCCTGCTGCAGCATGGCTCCTGCCAGCATGCGCTCCAGGCCCTGCGAGTGGGCCGCCTGAGGTACGGGGGAAAGATTGGGAGAGGTTGGGGGAGGTTGGGGGAGGTTGGGGGAACGGGAGAGTTGGAGAGGGCGGAAGGGAGGGCGTGGTTGAAGAGTGCTCGCGCCTGCTGCAGCATGGCGCCTGCCAACATGCGCTCCCCTGGGAGTGGGCCGCCTGGGGTGGGGCAAGGGGGAGGGAAGGGAGCAAGGGGGAGGGAAGGGAGCAAGGGGGAGAGGGAAGGAGGAGGAGAGGGAGGGAGAAGAGAGAGCAAGGGGAATGGGTAGGTCTCTTGCAACGAGTCTACTAGCTATCTCACCAGCACCCACTAGCAAGACGCCTATTGACTACCAGCAAGAAGCATATCAACTACCCCACAGCAAGCGTACTAACTGCCTAACCAGCAAGAAAGCTATTAATCATCTCACCAGCACGGCGCCCTGCGGGAAATTTTTGAGAATCCTAAAAATCTCAAAAATGCCATTTTTGAGAATCCTAAAAAATACCCAGCAAGGAGCCTACTAACAATCTATCTCACCAGCACGGCGCCCTGCGCGAGCACCAGGCCGCCATCCACGGCGGATCGGATCTCCACGTCAGCCTGCCACGCGCCACGCCAGCAGTCCTGCCACACGCGCACCACGTCACGCGGCACGCGCACCGACTCGTAGAAACACCCCCCCTCCCCCGCCCCTCCCGCTTCCCCCGCTTCCCCTTCCGCCACCCCGTGCGGGGAGTCCCCTCCGCTTCCGCCCACCCCGTCCGCCCGCCCCGCGCTCTCAGAAACCCGCCACGACCCCGCGCGGCGGGGAACCCTTCTTCCCGCCCCCGCGGAGGTGGCAGAGTCGGCGGGGGGAAACGCGGAGGCTTCCCCGTCCCCCGCGTAGCTGTTTCCGACGGGGGAAACGGGCGGGGAAGGGAGCAGCATGGGGGGAGGCGACGCGTCGGGGCCCGAGAGCGCGATCCCCGCGGTTTGCGGCGATCCCAGGAGCGCCGCGAGAGGCGTCATTTGCCCCGGGATGGGCCTACGTGGCTTCCCAGATTTTCCGGATTCCAAGGGGAGGCTGTCCGGCGCGGATTGGACGGCATGCACGTGATTCGCGGATGACGCGTGAACAGAAGAGGATAGGGTAGAGGCGTGGAGAGTAGAAGCAGAGGAGGTAAGAGCGTCGTTCATAGTATGAGCGCGAGTGGGTAGGTCAGAGCTATTTTTAGAGGGGGGATCAGCCGGCGGAGCATTCGAATCTGCGATTTTATATGCGACGTCGGTGTTCTTATAAGGGGGATCCGCTCCTGGGGACGATGGGAGTGCAGCCACGTGGTCGTTCGCGGATAACGATTTGCCCGGTGTTGCAGCAAGCGCCGGGCTGCCACGTGTCCGTACACGTGGCAGGCCAGCGGATCCCGCGCCATTGGTCCAGCTACTGCTGTGCGCATCGGCCGGATTGCCTGCCGATTCGCCTCGATCTGAGCTATGGCGGCCCGGGTACGACATCTTCTATCGTTGCTGCGAACAGAGTCTTCAATATAGTCTATGCAGTGGAAATGGTTTATACGCACGCGAATTCGTAACGGACGTTTATAGCGAAATGGAAACCAGGCAACGCGACGGACCACACGCGGTTTCGCGACCGTCAGTTGCTCGTGAATGCGAGTTATCCTGGTGTAGTTCCAGCGACCTAGCGACCAAATGAGCGGACAACCAGTATGACCGGATTACCTTATCTGAGAACCAGCATATTCTACAACTGCCGCTCAAGCGAACCAGCGAATACCCCAATTATGTTACAATCTACTTTCTAAGAGTGGTCACTCCCAGAGCGTACTTTGCGGAGGCGGTTCGAGGAAAAGAGGTGCACTGTAAGCGTCGAGCGGATACGACATCCGCCGCGTCGCCATGAGCAGCGCTACCTGTCAGAAGACGAGAGGGAGTCGCGGAATGATTGATGAATGCACGAGAGCAGACGGACGGTGGTCATGATGGGACAACAGGTGTGCCTGGCTTGGATGGGATGGTCTACAGTATCAGGGTGGGTGACCATTTGGGAAATGGAACGGACTTGCAAACGGAAAACGTCTTCCCTGGTCAGCTCGACTGACTGACTGAACATTTTTGAAAGGAGGTTCTTCCACACTCCCCCTTTCCCCGTTACCTTGCGAAGCAAGAGTAACCAGCCTCCACCTCAACGAAAACGTTTCGTGGCATGAACCGACACTCATTTCGGCAATCGCGAACGACAACGCACAGATTACATCTCATCGACATTGCCCCAACACATACACTTCCACTTTTGTCTGAACTCATCATCTATCGAGACAGTTCTCAAAGGGGATGGCCGCTCAACAGTTTTAGGGGTTCACTCCCACACCGAAATCTTGCTCGTCTTCCACCTCACTCAACCGCTTGGAATATACACATTACGTATTAAATCGCAAAAACAACTATGCAACCGAACTTGACCTAGTGAGGTTGGTGTTCATGTGAGATCCGTTCGCCAATACGTCTACCCTGCACCAGCGTTCTTGTTCTGTCAGTCATCAACACTCCTAGGCAGGTCTTTCCGGCTTCAGCCTCAATGCGTTTCGATCCGGTCGGCCTGTCGCTTCCCAATCATTACCCGATCGCTCGCTCTGCCATTCCCATCGGGCGTACTGCTCCGTTCGCGCAGTATTCCTGCGAATTCCGTTCCGCAAATCCCGCTGCTTCTCGCAACGTCCTTTCGCAGTGCAATCGACCACGCTGCCTACTCATTCGCCGTTTTCCGCGCTCCCGCAATCAGATAACCATGAGCGCTGACGTGGCGCAGACGGCTGACGTGGCAGAACCCGCTGATTGGCGGGTGCTGATCACGTTCGACGTGGACGGCACGCTGATCCACTCCGTCGGCTCTGAATCCAATAAATTACATAAGCGCGCGTTCGCGCATGCGATGAAGAAGGTGTTCGGCATCCAAGGCACCATAGACGCGATTCAGGTACGATCCAATGCATCGTTGACGCAATTCGGTCCCAGATTCTACCGTTTCCCAATTTCCCCCTCCCCCACTCTCCCCGTCACCCACTCTTCCCTTCCCCCACTCTCCCGTTCCCCCACTCTCCCCTTCCCTTACGCTCCCCTTCCCCATTCAGCAGCGCCACTTTTTCCTTCCCCCGATCTTTCCCTTCCCTGACTTCTTCACCTTCCCGTATTTCCGTCTTTCCCTCTCACCCACCTCCCCCTTTTCAGCAACACTTTTTCCTTCCCGCAATCTTTCCTCTCCCCCCGTTCCCACCCTTTCCCCCCTCAACCCACCCCTCAGTCAGCACTACTTTTCCCTACCCCTTATCTCTCCTTTCCCCTTTTTGTCCCCCATTACTTCTCAAACTCCCCCCCACCACATCCCCCCTCTCCCCCACACACCCCGGCAGCACCACGGCAGCACGGACCAGGCAGTGCTGATCAACACGCTCCGGTTCTACAGCCCCTCGATTTTCCATCCCCCCTTGAGCACCACATTTCCCTCCCCCAATCCCTCCTTCCCCTCTTCCCCCCCGCCCCCCTTTCTCTGTTGAACCCTCCCCCCCTCCCCCGGCAGCACCACGGCAGCACGGACCAGGCAGTGCTGATCAACACGCTCGAGTTCTACGGCATTCCCAGACACGTGAGTGCGACACATTTGGGGGGGGGGGGGAGGGGGAGGGGCGGGGAGGGAGGGGACGGGGGAGAGAGGGGGAGAGGGAGGAAGAGGGGGGGGAGGATGGAGAGGGTGGAGAAGGAAGCGTAATCAGCTTTCCTGGACATGCACGCCTCATACGAGGCATCTACATGGTAGTGTTCATGGGCGTTCATGACTCTGATTTTGCAGACTTCTGCTTTGTTCACGTCCTCGCTCGCTGCCCCGTCACTGCCATACCCAGCAGATCAGCGGGCCCACATTGCCAGCGCTTTGCAACGTCTTTCTACAGTACTGCCAGCAGCATGCCGGGGACTCACTGACCGTTGCTCCTTGCTCTGCGCTGCATTTCGCATAGTGTGCCCTGTGCGTCCCGTTGTTTCCCCCTCCTTGCCCCCTCTTCACTGTCACATCACCCGCAGATAAGCTAGCCCCAGCTGCCAGCGCTATGTGAAGCCATGCTGCAGTACTGCCAGCGCTATGTGAAGCCATGCTGCAGTACTGCCAGCGCTATGTGAAGCCATGCTGCAGTACTGCCAGCGCTATGTGAAGCCATGCTGCAGTACTGCCAGCGCTATGTGAAGCCATGCTGCAGTACTGCCAGCGCTATGTGAAGCCATGCTGCAGTACTGCCAGCGCTATGTGAAGCCATGCTGCAGTACTGCCAGCGCTATGTGAAGCCATGCTGCAGTACTGCCAGCGCTATGTGAAGCCATGCTGCAGTACTGCCAGCGCTATGTGAAGCCATGCTGCAGTACTGCCAGCGCTATGTGAAGCCATGCTGCAGTACTGCCAGAACCATGCGGAGGATGCAGCTGACGGTTCAGTGGGGTAGTGGGACAGGTGAGAGTGCGGTTCAGTGGGGTAGTGGGACAGGTGAGAGTGCGGTTCAGTGCGGTGATTGGAATGGTGAGTGCTCGTTGCTGTTGCCCTGGGATCGCTATTGTTGTCCCGTTGTTCTTGCCGACAAGATCTGACAAGAAACACTGCCATGCCATGTCGTGTCATGTACTGCTGCATTGCATGCCTGCATATGGGCAGTAGTTGGGCAGTAGTTGGGTGACGTGGTGTGATGTGGTGTGGTGTCGTGTGATGTGGTGTGATGGGTGGTATGGTATGCAGGTGAGGGGCAGTCTGGAGCCCATAGCATGGAGCAAGATAGAATGGCTGGAGCACCTTTTGGGTTCCAGCAATTGGTTTATGAAGATGAATGATGCATTATGTTTCCCTACCTCTATAACCTGCTGCATGTGCCAGGTGACGGGCAATCTGGAGCCGATAGCATGGCTCAAGATGGAGGCTTGAAGAACACCTTTTAGGTGCCAGTAACTGCTGTCTCGGAGATGAATACTGCAGCGTTTTCCCAACGCATGTGGCAGGTGACGGGCAACCTGGAGGCGATAGCATGGCTCAAGATGGCAGGGCTGGAGGTGGCTTCGCTCTTCACCGCGCCACGCATTGGAGGGTGAGGATGAGGAATGAGGCGCCTGGTATCCTGGTATAGCATAGCATGGAAATGCCATCGCACCGGCTTTCCATCGCAGCAGCCATGCTGAAACAGAGGCGGTGTTTGTGTGCCTGCCCCCACAATCCCGTTAGAAATAGCTGCAACGGCGTCCCCGTTTCACCTGTCTTCGCATATTCTAACTCAGCCTATATCTCCCTGCCCAGGTTCGGGAGCGACCACATGGATCGGGGAGAGCTGGTTCGGATAGCAAGGCAGCGAGCAGAGGAGAGAATTGCGGGGCCACCCTTTCGCCTGCATGCACATGTCGGGGACACAGTAAGATATGCATAAAGCAACATGCGCCAGTTGGCATGGCATGTTCGGGACGTGGCGGGATATGCATGACGCATGCTCGTGTTTAGGACACTGCGAATTCAGCCCAGCTATCGCCTCTCCTCCCACTCCCTGCTGTCATTGTAACACGCGCCTCAACGTTTCTGCACCACCAGGCTTTTGAGTCGACTCGAAATGTCCACGCTCCCCTCCTTCCCCTCTTCACTCCTACATATACTCCTCTTGTTCCTCGTTCTTCTCCCAGCCAAACGACATCATAGCTGCCAGGTTCGGCGGTGCCAAGCCTATCGGCGTCTGCACCGGCATTTTTTCCAGGGCTGAGCTGCTGGCTGTGCTGCCACCATGCCAGTCCATAGGACCACTCCCGAGCGGAACCACAAGTTCGGATTCTACATGTGCCGATGCAGCAGAAGTAGCAGCAGCTGAGGAAGCAGCTGAAGCATCAAGCTCTTTTGCAGCTGTTTCCACAGCACCCGATTGTGACAGTAACGGTGCCTGTGTTGGTGGCAGCAGCAGGGGCACGGCTGGTTTGCTGCAAGAAGCAGTGATTCTCGATTCTTTGGAGTGCACCATTACTTTTCTTAAGGCGTGTACACTCTCCATGTATAACGCTTCCATTTAGATTAGACGGTGTCTGTCTGCATCTTGCAGAAGTGAGTTGCTTCTGATATCAAATGTATGCACTTTCCCATATGGGTGTGTTGCTGTTGTGCACCAAACACCTCTTGTATATTGAGACGGTATTGAGCATGCCTGACAAGGCAAGAAATGTAGAAACAATCCATGGTTTATAACGTAGGTCATTGGGAACATGAAGGTCGTAAAGAAAAACAGGATTTAGAGTAGGCATACAGACGAAACTAGGGGCATGTTCCTACGCGTCTTATCAGGCGAACCTCTTGTATGACTTGCCTGATGAAATGCATGAAGTGTTTAGGGTTTAGGGGAATTTCAGTGTGACGCCGCGAGTCTGATAAGAAGTTCGCCTGATAAGAGGCAGGGCGTTCCGCCTCTTATCGGGTCAGTGCAGCGGCTGCCGCGTAGCGACTGGAGCACATCCGCTTACATGCGGCAAGGGTTGGAGCAGGCTCCTAGCAGGCGAACAACTTTAGCTGGCTCTACATGGAAGGCGAAGGATGCTGGTAGCTTGGTGGTGTCAAACTGTATCTTTGTGTTCTCTCTAGGCTATAGTGGGTTAGCCTACAAGGGGTACAACACTTTAGGGTTAGTACTTGTACCCAACTCATTCATAGTTCATTCATTCCTGCACAGTTATTCTGACATGGTATTCAAAGCAGGAAACCTGTTAAGTTTTTAGGGCCCACTGATCGTTTTGCTAGTTCCTGCCCGAAGCGCCCTTGCGTTGTCCGGCCCTCTCGCACAGTGTCACGCTGCCCTGCAGCTACTCGCACTGCCTGCCCTAGAGCGCTGCCCTACTGTCACGCGCGCCCCTGCTGCCCGAGAGCAGCCCCTGCCCCGCACGCCCCTGCTGCTTGCGAGCAGCCCCTGCCCCGAGCGCCCCTGCTGCCCGCGAGCAGCCCCTGCCCTGCGTGCCCCTTCTGCCCGCAAGCAGCTCCTGCCCCAGCGCGCCCCGTCTGCAGGGTTGCGTCTGCAGGGTTCGCGCCCTACTGCCCTGCGCGTCGCGCCCTGCTGCAGCCCGCGCGTCGCGCTCTGCTGCTCCGCGCGTCACGCCCTGCTGCAGCCTGCACGTCGCGCCCTGCTGCCCTGCGCGTCGCGTCCTGCTGCAGCCCGCGCGTCGCGCTCTGGTTTTGGTAGTCCTGGTGGTGGAGGTTTTGGTTTTATGTGACCTCAGCGACCTCGCGACTGTGCTTCTCAGCGATGCGTCCCTGGTCGTGTAGAGGCTGCTGCTCTCGGTTCTAGTGAGTCTGCTGTCGCTCCAGGTGTTGGTGAGTCAGCTGCAGCTCTAGGTGCTCGTGAGTCTGCCGACGCTCTAGGTGCTAATGCGTCTACTGCCACATGTCCTACCTCAACTGAGGCCTTGCACACTTTCACGCTTGACTCAGGCGCGTCACGTTGCTTCTTTCGTGATTGCACCACAGCCACACCACTCGCAGCACCTGCCCCAGTCTCACTGGCTGACCCCACAGGGGGCCCGGTAGTTGCACGAGCCTCCACTGTCCTCCCGTGTCTGGCATTCCCCTCCGGGTCTCTCTCAGGTCTCCATCTCCCCGCGTTCTCGACGAACTTGTTGAGCAACGCAGTTCTCCAGGATGAATGGGTTGACACCTTCATTCCTAGAGGACAGCGTGTGGCGATCTGTAAGTGCTCACGGACTGGCCGTCACCTTGCTACGTTCACTCGTCAGCCTGGGTCCGGTCTGTACACCTTGACCACTGCGTCTGCACAGGTGGCTGAGTCAGGTCAGGTGGCTGCGTCGAGTCGGGTGTCTGCGTCTAGTCAGCTTGCAGCGTCTTTCTCGTGTCGGGTACTCTCTCACCAGACTCTCCTCTGGCACCACCGGCTAGGTCACCCCTCGCTGCCGCGTCTTCATACCATGCACTCTCGTCTCCTTGTCTCTGGCCTTCCCAGGTCCCTGCCCTCCCTCCCGCGCTCGCCTGCCCCGCCGTGCCTTTCTTGCGTCGAGGGGCGGCAGCGCGCCGCTCCTCACTCCTCCGAGTTTCCTCCGACCACTGCTCCTCTGCAGACTCTCCATATGGACGTTTGGGGCTCGGCCCCCGTCGGTGGGACGGACCAGGAGCGCTACTTCCTGTTGGTTGTTGACAACTACACACACTACACCACTATCTTCCCCTTGCGGCGCAAGGCGGACGTCAGCGGTGTGTTGATCCCCTGGATCCGTGCTACTCGTCGCCAGCTGCGCGAGCGGTTTCGTCGGGACTTCCCAGTCCTGTGTCTGCACTCTGACAGGGGCGGTGAGTTCTCTTCTGACCTCCTTGCGGATTTCTGTCGAGACGAGGGCATCTGCCAATCGTTCACGCTTCCGGCCTCTCCTCAGCAAAATGGGATTGCTGAGCGTCGCATTGGCTTGATCATGGAGGTTGCTCGCACCTCCATGATGCATGCGGCTGCTCCCCATTTTCTGTGGCCGTTTGCGGTCCGATACGCAACGCATCAACTCAACCTCTGGCCCTGTGTCTCTGAGCCAGGGACCCTCGCCCACACTCCGGTGGACGGGGAAGGTTGGCGATGCGTCGGTGTTTCGGGTCTGGGGCGCGCTCTCCCTTGTTCGCGATGCCAAAGCGAGCAAGCTCTCCTCTCGCACTCTCCGCTGCGTCTTTCTTGGCTTCCCCACCGATGCCCCGCCGTAGCAGTTCTACCACCCGCGCTCGTGTCGAGCCTTCTCCTCCCAGGACGTCACCTTTCGCGAGTATGTCTGTTTCTACAGGCTACACCCGCATGCGTCCCACCCGGTCCCCCTAGCGCCTGTTTTCTTGGTACCAGTCCCCCCCTGGTAGACCCCCTCCCCCCACAGGGTCGTGCTCCCTCAGGTGTGTCTCAAGTAGACGCACCCCCCTTGGTTGAGCCTTTGGAGTCTCTTCTGACTCCTCTGGCCCAGCTGAGGGGGGTGACCCCGCCGCTGACGACACGGCGGCCACTCGCCGCTCTCCACGCTTGGAGACCCCCCCTGGTTTTCTGCCTCGGCCGTCTTCGCCGCCTCCGCAGTCTGCTGCTGTGGACTATGGAGCTGAGGCTGCTAGTGCTGCGCCTGGGGGTGCTGAGACAGAGGGTGAGGGTTCTGGGGTTGCTGCGACTGGGGGTGCTGGTTCTGGGGGTGCTGCGATTGGGGGTGCTGGTTCTTGGGGTGCTGCGACTGGGGGTGCTGACTCTGGGGGTACTGCGAGTCCTAGTGGCGGTGGAGCTGTAGGTGACCCTGCTGGAGGTCCTGGAGCTGGACAGCCACAGCAGCCTGATCCACTTGAGACGCTCTCGATGCAGGTAATTCGTGCGTGGATCGTTCGGCGAGGCAATCCTGGTGGTGGAGGGTACGGTCCTGCTGGTGCTGGAGCTGCTAGTCCTGGAGGTACTGCTGGTGCTGAAGGTACTGGAGGTACTGCTGGAGGTGCTGGAGGTGCTGCTGGTGCTGGAGGTACTAGAGGTGCTGCTGGTGCTGGAGGTGCCGGAGCTACTAGTCCTAGAGGTGCTACTGGTGCTGGAGGTGCTGGACCTACTAGTCCTGGAGGTACAGCTGGTGCTGGAGGTGATGGAGGTACTGCTGGTGCTAGAGGCGCTGGAGCTGGAGGTACTGGAGGTGCTAGAGCTGCTGGTCATGGAGGTGCTCGTACTGGAGGTGCTGGAGCTGTCGGAGCTGGTGGTGCTGTTAGTGCTCGAGGTGCTGGGGGTACTGGAGCTGCTGGCACTTGAGGTGCTGGTGCTACTGTTGCTGAAGCTGCGGGAGCTGCTGGTCCTGGAGGTGCTCGTACAAGAGGTACTGGAGATGCCGGAGCTGGTGGTGCTGCTAGTGCCAGAGGTGCTACTGGAGCTGCTGGCACTGGAGGTGCTGGTGCTGCTGGTGATGGAGGCACTGGAGCTGGAGGTACTAGAGGTGCTGGAGCTGCTGGTCCTTGAGGTGCTCGTACTGGAGGTGCTGCAGCTGCCGGAGCAGGTGGTGCTGCTTGTGCTGGAGGTGCTGGGGGTGCTACTGGAGCTGCTGGCACTAGAGGTGCTGGAGGTACTGCTGGTCCTGGAGGCGCTGGAGCGGAGGTACTGGAGGTACTGGAGGTGATGGAGCTGCTGGTCCTGGAGGTGCTCCTACTAGAGGTGATGGAGCTGCCGGAGCAGGTGGTGCTGCTGGTGCTGGAGGTGCTGGAGGTGCTACTGGAGCTGCTAGCACTGGAGGTGCTGGAGGTATTGCTGGTGCTAGAGGTGCTGGCGCTGCCGGAGCTCGTGGTGCAGCTGGTGCTCGAGGTGGTGGTGCTGCTGGTGCTGGAGGAGCTGGAGCTGCTGGTACTGCCCCGTGCCGATTGTTTTTCTACCCGCAGCCGCAGTTGTCCCTGCCGCCG